TTAAGCGACGTCTGCCGTTCTATATATAATCTTTACATAATATGACAAAATATTATACTGCGTGCTATTGTGTTTATGTACATTTAAATTTTAAAAATTTTGTGAAAAATTTCTCATCTGGTATCATCTTAAACTTCTTGAACCCACATATTTGTTATAATCGGTCTTATTTAAATTTCTGTTCTTATGGCCATTCTAGACTCATCAAATTCATAACACATGATTTGGCGTGTTTTGCTTTCAACAGGTTTGGCCTTCCACCCACTGGACGGGATATTGCAGGCAGTACCACACGTTATGGCTCTCTTCCTAGTGCCAACGCATTTCACAACACACATAGCCCTTCTATTCATTGAGGCCATGTGGACTGCAAATATTCATGACTGCATACACGGCAAGTTATGGCCTGTAATGGGTGCTGGTTATCATACCATACACCACACCACTTATCGACACAACTATGGCCACTACACAATATGGATGGATTGGATGTTTGGAACTCTTCGCGACCCCCTTGATGACGAGGCCAAGAAGATATAATCAAAGTCGCTGCAATTTTCTTGTTTTAGCTTGTGCATCATTAGAATTCGTTCGTGTCCTACGTGTCTCTAATTTTTGCTGCTCTGTTGTTTTTTCATGTCAAAAACATTGTTGAGAGAGGCGGCAGGGGGGAATAAGAAAAGAAAGAGGCCGTCCGCTTCTTAAACGGTCTTTCTTTCCCCAGTTTTATTGTGTTGGTTATATGTTGACTGTACATTAATCATGTTGGAAGCAAATTATCGTAGTGTTTTTGGTGACATCAGATGGTGGTAATAATGTATAACTGCAATTTTCTAGTCATGGCATGATCATCTTTAGTTCTTTACCCTTGTTTGATCAATCAAAATGCAGTCGTTTTCCTTTTGGACATGATTGGTTTAGCTTATGTTGTTCTGTCAAGGAAACCAAGAAAGGTTGAAAGAATCAAAGTTTTTACTTCTTTCTTAGAAATAAGCTAAGCCAAACATACTCTTTATTTTGCCAGATATTTTTGGTAATGAGTGGATTTGTTTCTGAGAAATTGTTGTATGATTACTGTAATTGAGTAGAGTGATATGATATACAAAATGCCATTCATTGGGCTAGAAGAAAATTTTATAATGAAGCAAAATCAAAAATTTTTATATTATGCTCGTCTATAATTTCCGAGAACGAGGATTGATATGACATGTTCAAAGCTGCTATGGTTATGTGAATGATGAATAATTATTTTCATATTAAAGAGATGGTTGATTGTTATTCACTCAAAGCTTAAGAAAATTAAAAACTGAAAAAGAAAAAACTCGTCTTTAAAAGGTTAATTGTTAAAAATTAAAAAACAAAATAGCAAAATTTTACTTTTTGAGACGCAGTAAAAAATGAATCAATAGAAAATCTTCGGAAAATTTTCATATTTAAGAGATTAAGTATGACCTATTTCAAAATTAAGAAATAAGGTTTAAAAATTCAAAAATCAGATATTAATTAAATTTTATTTATGAAATAATTAATTAAAAATATGTTTTATTAATTAAATATATTAATGTCATAATTCTATACAATTTGGTCATAAATTCTTGCATTAATTAGTCACAAATTATTTCTCACTCAAAAATCAAAAAAATTATAGGTTATAATTTATTCAACAGTCACAAATTACAAATTTTATAAGATTTGTTTGAGATCCATTATTTTGAAAAGAATGCATTTTTGAATAGTGATTTATGGATGATGTGTGGTTAAAAAGTAAGGTAAATTTTTGAATTTGTGTGTAATATTATTTTATTGAAAAATGTGTGATTGAAAAGAAAAAAGAGAAAAATTTATCTTAAAAAATAATGGAAATCAAAGGGTTACATCACATTTTATTTAATGAACACAAATTAATAAATTATAAGTCACACAATCACACTTTTTAGGCCATCCAAAACCATCGCCCCCACAACATCGCACCATCGCCACGTCCACCACCAACATTACCACCACCTTCTTTCCATCCAATCATCACTAAGACACAAACACTCTTCTTTCCAACCCAACCTAACCCAACAACCATTATCGCCACCATCGTCGTCATCGTCACCAACTGCAAACACAACCCATAACACTCACCCCAAAAAATAACGAGTACCGCCAACATCATCACCACCTCATGAGCACCTCCAACACGACCACCATCAACTGTAAACACCACCAAAAAAACAGTGCATAACCACCGCAAACTAGATCCCAAATCTGCACCACCACCTCCATCATCATTGCCACCACTGCTGCAACCACCACCATTTGCATAACACCAAGAATCACTTACAAACAAAAACCCCTAAAACTTCGGTAAAATAGCAGATTAGAGGAAGAAAAACATAGCGACGATCGCGACAGAAAACATCGCAGTGGCTGAGAGACGGTCATAAGCCACAACAAACCTCGTAGCAGTTAACAGGAGGAAGAAAAACATCACGGAGGAAGAAAACAATTTCAAAATAATAAAAAGAACGTATTTTCAACAATCTCAAAATAGACACTCAAAACACAAAATAAAAAATAAATTCAAAACTCAAAATTAAAAATTGAAACATGAAGAGAACAATTCCTTAGAGTTCGAAATTGGGTGGGGGCAGGGTTTTGGTGAGTGGTGGGATTGTATATTTATTTAATTTTATAACATTATTATTAATGTTTTAAAAATATATTATCATCTTTTTTGTATAAAAAAACTTTAGATTACATTTTGAAGTTGGATCATAGAAATTTGAGTAATGCTATTCATTCCCACTGGGGATAAAAATACAGTTTATGTGGTTTTAAACGTTAATGTGGTATTAAATAATAGGTGAAATTAAATGACTTATTTAATTTCACATTTCATTTAACCTATCATTTAAAGTCACTTAAATTGTGTTTTCGTCCCCATTGAGGATGAATTACATCACTCTAGAAATTTGGGTGTAATTTCCAGAAAATCTTTCCCCATCTAGCTTTACATTAGCCAAACGGGATAATGGTTGCAAACTACTCCACAGTCCCTGAAAAATTCTCAACCCATAGAATAATTGCATAAGGGATGAAATACCTTGAACAATCTTCGTGTCATATACAATGTACGCCACTCCCTTTCTTTATGCTTCATCGAACACCATCCATCCCCTTCACTTATAATTCCTTTGGAATTCCAGCACAATTTCTCTCTTTACATGAATCTAAAGTTAGTTTCGCAATCTTTTCTAGCCCTTTTACCAACGATAATAACGCAAAAGTTGAAAGCAGCAGCATTGTGTATGAAAATCAAGATTATGCTGCAGATATCTACTGAACACGTTTCACAATCTGGTTCAGCCATTAAAGCACGATGAAAGGTCCTCTTCTTGTTGAACCCAATCGAATTATGAAATTTACCAAGTCAAGACCTAGAAAAGATTCCACCTTAGATAAAATTGAAGAACACCCTGATAAGGTCTTGGCTGGTCAAGTGAGTGGTGTAAGAGGGAAAAAAGCCATGAAGGAAATCTTTCGAGGTTTTGAAAAACTCCAAGAAACCGAAAATTTGGAGGAAATTCAGAAGGATCCGGAAAATGTTAAATTCAGATTTGCACTTGGTGAATTGTGGGAAAATGCAATCTTTGAAAATGTTGTAGGAGTTCAGGAAGATTCAGAGGCGGCCCAGAAAAGTTTGGAGAGTATTGAATTTGATATTCCATTTGGGGAGGTTGAAAATGAAGGGAAATTGAAGAAAATGCGATGGGAGAGAGATGAGAGAATGGTGATTAGGTGGGTAAAAAAGGAGAAGGAGGTTACCACTGCTGAGTTGGTTCTTGATGGAGTATTGCTAAAGAGGTTGCAGGGTAAGGCTGCAATGACGAGAAAATGGGTGAAGGTTAAGAAAGCTGGGGTGACTCGAGCTGTTGTTGATCAAATTCATCTTATTTGGAAGAACAATGAACTTGCCTTAATCAAATTTGATCTGCCCTTGTGCCGAAATACGGAGACAGCGCAAGAGATCACTGAGGTTATGTTTGTTTACCTTTCCTTTTCTTTTCTTTATCTACATAAATCAGTCTATACTTCTGAAATAGTCAGTGTTTTAACATAAGTTGATTGTTACAGCAAAAATATAAAATTAGAATAAAATGATCACAGTTGTATGTTATTCTTTTTATCCAAGCTTTATCTACTAAGTCACCCCATAAGTCCCCAGTCCTGCTATTTCAGAAAGTTCAAGATGTACTCTGTGTTAGTGATCAATTTGAACATGATTCTAGTACTCAAATCTGATCCCATATCTTTTTTCTTCCCGCTATAACACCCCAATCCATTTGGAAAGAAGTCCTTTCTGTAAATGCATCAATTATTCAGTACTCCTACCTTCAGAACATTCAGTTAATGTTAAAAATAATTTTAATCATGTCCGCATACTTTTCCTTAGTTGCTGTTATCTTTGTTATTTCCCTTTCATCTTGTTTTTACATCCTTGTTCTTTCCTTAAAAATTAAAATGTTGTTTTAGTTGCTTCCCCGATACCGTACTATATCCTCTAAGCAGATGAAGACTGGAGGCCTTGTTGTGTGGAATAAGGAAGATTTTCTTGCTGTTTATAGAGGTTGCAACTATCTTCCAGGTTCAAGAAATTACTTGAAGATTCATCAGAACTCAGTCAGTGATCAAGAAAATCTATCATTAAATATGAGTTACCAAATCACCAGTCCTATCTCTAGAGTAACATCAAGTGGAAGTAGTCCTTACAAGACAAATAATGGTATAGAAGGTGAATGGGAAAGCTTACAAATCAATGTATTTTCATTTTTCTAAGAGAGAGATTGACAAAATAATTTTGTGGGCTCCCTTTTCATGAATCTGTTTAAGAGAGTTTTTAGTTGATAATCTTTTCCATCTTTTGCATTGTATCATAAATGATGGACTTTAGTGGCTTGTGACCTTGCTTCAATGATTTTTTGACTGAAATTTGCAATTTTGCAGGCAGATTTGAACAAAAACAATGATTGATTGGATTTGTGGACAAGCTGATTGCCATCAGCCAACATAAACATTTTAATGGGAATTCTTTGAATACCTTGTCTTTACAATGCTAAATAAATCTACAGAGACCTATCACTTCTTGGCCTAAAATGAAAATATAAGTACACGTGCAAAAGAAGAGCTGTCAATCTGTGGAAGACTCGAGCATACTGGGAGTGGGAGCACTGTCTAGTTTTCTGTTGGGAGAAGAAGGAAAAGGCTTTGGTGGAATCTGTAGAACTTCATGGCTTCCCTGTAACATATCCAGTATCCTATCGATGGATGGGCGATTTGCTGGGTCAGTCTGTACGCACCACAAACCTACTAAAATCATCTTTCTTGCAATTTCTTCTGCTGTTTTATCCTCTGTACATCTCAATTTTATGTCTGGATCTGTCAAAAGACAATTGTAGATCCAATGGGGGAAATACAATTCACTGCTATGGTCAAATTCCGTGTCAATATTTTTTCTCCCGCTAGCCATTTCTAAAATCATCATGCCATAGCTATATACATCTGACTTGCAGGACACAACACCAAAGTTTCTACAGAAAACTTCTGGTGCAATATATCCTACAGTTCCTCTTGTACCTACCCTTGAAATTTTGCTCTCATTCCTAAGGCATAGTTTGGCAAGGCCAAAATCTGATATTTTCGGAGAGAAATCTTGATCTAGAAGGATGTTTTGAGGTTTTATATCAAGATGAAGAATTCTTGTGTTGCACCCATGATGCAAATATTGCAGACCTTGAGCAATACCGATTGCTATATGATATATTTTTTCCCTTCCTATAGGTGAAATTTTCTTTTCCGTTCCATATATGTAGTTGTCAAGAGATCCATTGGGCATGAATTCATATATGAGTGCTCGTTTAGACCCCTCAAAGCAAAAACCAAGAAGTGTGACAATATTTACATGTGAAGTCCTGCTAATGCTGGAAACTTCATTTACAAATTCTTCTCCATTTGCCCTGGACTCATTGAGAACCTTTACTGCAACCAGACTACCATCCTGCAGCTTCCCTTTATACACAACACCATAGCCTCCCTGTCCTAATTTGTCCTTAAAAGATGCAGTCATTTTCTTTTTGTCTGAATAGCGATATCTCTTTGGTGCCATGGGTCCACATTTCTCTAGAATATCTTCTAAATTTTCAGATTTCTTTGCTATCTTCCTCCAGAAAGGCCCACATATGTGTGCAATATAGTTCCTTCTGAAGCAAACACATAGGATAGATATCACCAAAATAATGCAAGCTCCAAACGTGGATGCAGCTGTTTGCAAGGAAGATAACAACATATTGATATCACGTTGTTTTGCTGGAAAGTGTTATGAACATATACAATAATTAATGTGTTGGGAATACCTATAATACGAATTCTGGGTTCCACATGGTTTCCTGCAATACAAGCGATGTACAACAGAACACTTAGATATGAAGCAAGTAGTTTGATGGGCGTGTTTAAAACATGACATTGACCACTGGCACTTGAAGTGGTGGATACTCTTTGGTTTATATTTTTGTTTCAACTCTGAGATTCATAATTATTTGTTATCAGATAGGTCGTGTTAACAAAGATTTTTGCTTGATCCATTTTACAGATGATGCGTGAATTATATGTACCTTGATTATTTTACCTGGTGGAAGTTGACATCTCATCAAGTAAGCTTTATCAGGACAGAAACATATAGGTTTAAAATAACTTGAGTTGTATCCACATCTCCCACCAGATCCTGCACACTCTGTACATGCTGCGTCGTCCGTGATCCAGTGTACTTCAAATCCATCATTTAGAACCCGATCAATCGATGTTAAGTTATTTCTAAGAGCATTTACTGCTGTTTGGAGCACAGGGACTGTAATACAAGTCGTGCAGTTTCCAAGTTCTCTATCAGTTGGAATGGATCCAATTGTGAAGTAGCCATTCTCAACCAAGGTACCATTCTCGTAACAAAGGAACTTATTGGAAGCTAATGCTGTACTGATAGACGAACATCCAAAGAACATAGTCAGGTTCCCGAAATTGGGAGTGTAACTGAATAGGTAACTAATTGTGGTATTCATGAATGCAGAGGGGCAAGTATTGTTGTAGACGTCTAATCTGGTAAGCCTCAAAACTTGGTTGTCATGATCTATAATCAAGACTCGAAATGTTTGTGACAAGATCTTTAATGTAGGGAATTGGCCTTGGCACCCGAGTTTGAATTCTGGGAGACCACAGTAGTACGGTTGAGGATCACCCCAGAAGGGATAGCTAATATTTTTCATACCCCCACACTGAAACTGGCGACCACACTGTAAGTATCGTGCATCATCTGCTGACAAAATTGCTGGAACCACTGAAAGAATTATTGCAATGATGCTAATGTTAAAGGGAACATACAAGGGAGGTTGGGGAAACATTTAGCAGATTTTTTTCATCATAGTTTGAATAGATGACTTTATAAGATATGTGAATGGTTTGGGTAAAATTCCGTTGAAGCAATAATCATATCATTGCTGGAATGATATTGATTTGTTGACATTTTCAATATTTAGAATTTTGAACAGTCAGAGAATGGCTAAATTTTCTATTTGAAGTGGAAAGATCACTGCAAATTTCATTATTTTCAATAATTTCCTTTTGGTTGACCTGGTGGAGTACTTGTGATCTTTTATTTGACTTACAATTTGACTAGTTATCTATAAGATTCAAGCTTGCCTGGAAAATTTGACTAGTTATCTATAACGTTCTGTTTTAGATTATTGAACATTTGAAAAGTTGCATATGTAAATAGATACACCAACCTTTTTGTTTGACTAATGCCTGTTTTCTTAGCCTTTTAGTGGAAGGGCTGAAGTCTACACTTAAGTTTTAAGGTTCATTTTAAATAAAAAAATTTAATATTTTTTAACTGAAATTTTTCTTATGGTTTTGGACAGTTTTTTTTTTTAACAAGGGAACATTTATTTAGTTCTCGAAATATTTCTTATAATTTATTTATCAATTTTCAACGGTCATTCAATTACATTGAAAGTCTCCGTGCTACTTAATTCTCTTCTATACCACTTAGCCCCTGTTTGAAATTCATTCTTTACCGCACATTGTCCCGACAAAATACTTCCGCACATAAAATCCAAAAAAATTTCATACTTTTTAGTCACACATTCTCATAAAAGATCACTTTTACAAAATATATTCTCAATAAAGGGGGCTCAACGTAGCTTCCTATACATTGATGTCCTGTCGTCATATTTTTTCTGCCTTCAAATCTTCTGGGCTTTTCACCCATACGCTCGCAGTTCCTTCTTGAAATGTGTAGCCCCCTTCTTATGTGTAGGAGCTTCATCAATGTGTGTTATCCCTATTACTATTCGAATGATTTCCATTCATTCTCTAATCTTAGTTGTGGGTGTCAAGACTCTCCAAAGATAAATTAATTTGCCCTACTTTTTTTGTACTCGAACCATCTTACTTACTATCATCCAAGAAAATAAAAAATAAGAGAAACTTTTAGAGAAAGACGTACAACTCAATTGTAGCTATCGAAAAATATACGTACATAATATGCACTTACACACATTTATTACATACATTTAAAAATTTAAATTTTTGGAATTTCGCTCCTAAATAAAATTCGGACTTAAGGCCACTGATTTAGCAAGACTTTCATTCTACTCACTTGAGCTAGGTATTGATCTCATATTAATTTGTATTTGATTGTACTGAAATTAATTCAATTATAAAATATATTAGTTAATATGTCTAATTTAGAGAGGTAAACATGAACTTGTAATTAATGCATGGATTCAATCTTTTTGGAAAAATGAAAAATGCAAAGGATTTTGTTGTCTTCAAGCCTTGAAAATGGTGTACATATAATACTAGAATTAAGAAGAGAAGGGCATAGACTCGTGGTTGTAGAGAGGTTTGGAATAAGCCAAAGTTGATGTTGAAGGTGCAATGCCTAAATTCAATGTATTTGAATGTAATATTAATTAACGAAGTTTTTCTTTTCTTTACCTTGATATAATGTAAAGCAAGTGAGAATTGACAAATCTTGTCACTCTCTACAGTTTTTCAAACAAATTTGAAGCTTCTAATGGACTTGTTTAATGGTTTTATACAAAATTCCTAAATTGCCGTGAAAAATCTGTCATCATTAAGCCAAATTAACATAGACACCATTTTTAGCCTAAGCATCGATGCTAGACACCATTTTTAGTCTAAGCTAACTTTCACTATCTAGCTATGTTGACACCGACGAGGAAAAATCTTGAGCCGGCATCCTAGGAGAAAACAAGAATGGCTTTGGTGGAACTTCTATCGATTCAAGACTTCCCTTCAACATTTCAAGTACTTTTGTCATTGATGGACGGTCTGATGGAGCAGTTTGAATGCACCAAAAACCGATCAAACACTGCTCATGAATTCATCGAATTTCACCGTTTCACGAACTATTATGAGTTCATAAACTTGGTCGGGAAAATAATTTTCACTCGACTTGGTTGATCCAGCTTCTTCAACTTTCCTTGCTCCAGCCATTTCAAGAACCATCATCCCGTAGCTATAAATGTCGGATTTGTAAGACATTCCTCCAAAATTTCTACAGAAAACTTCTGGGGCAATGTAACCAATAGTGCCCCTTGTACCAATTGTTGACAAAATGCTCTGCTTCTTTCCGCATAATTTAGCAAGGCCAAAATCTGAAATTTTTGGACAGAAGTCTTCATCTAAAAGAATGTTCTGAGGTTTAATGTCAAAATGTACAATTCTTGTGTTGCAACCTCCATGAAGATACTCTAAACCTTGGGCGACCCCGACAGCAATCTGGTACAATGTTTTCCACTCTAAATGGCATTCTGAATTGAGTGATCCACTCCTGTACATTAGTTTGTCTAATGATTTATTGGGCATAAATTCATAAACTAATGCTCTTCTATTTCTCTCGTAACAAAATCCCAAGAGATTGACAATATTGACATGAGAAGTTCTACTGATGCTACCGACTTCATTCATGAAGTCTTCTCCACTTCCTTTTACCTCATTCAAAACCTTGACAGCAACGAGTTGACCATTAGGTAGCATTCCTTTGTACACACTACCATATCCTCCTTGACCAAGCTTATCAGAGAAGGATTTGGTTATATTTTTAATTTCCGAGTAGTTATATCGTTTTGGAGCAAGAGATCCGTGGCTAAGTAAAAATATTTCAACTTTTTGATTGTTTTCCTGTATCGACTCCCATGATGAACATTGTCGTTTAAGGTAGCAGAATATGATGATGGACGATATAATGATACTAGGTATGCCGAGTGACGCCCCTGCATGCAAAGATTGGAGATAAGACACAGAATTCCGTAATCGAGCAATGTAGAGGGCTTCATCCCATAAGGTAGTCACATATATACAAATTATTTGGAGATAAATATAATATGTTTCTCATCAAGAAAGGAAAAGAACTTGAAATCTAACTTCTGCAAAGGTTTGATTTACCTATTACATACTTCCACTTATCATCAAGCCCTTTCTTTGGTCCTGCAACCAAAAACAGTAAGCCTATAAAAATTCACAAATCTCCTCACTACTCACATGCTAGCACCTTCACACAGGCATGAAAATGAAATCTTGCTTCAAAATTCTTTCATGAAAATCAACTTCAGTTCATAATCTACTGTTAGCTTAAGCATTTGTTAGGTCAATAAGAATCTGGAACTGTGTAAAATATAGAAGCCGTTATCCTTGCGTTGATTTGAGATGGAGAGGCAGGAAACAGAATTGATCCTTGGTACAACGAAGGATAGGGGCGTTAACCACTGGTATGACTTCGAAGAATTGAGAGAATGTTTTTGGTCCATATGTTAGAACAACTCAAACATCTTATACTGTTATAGGTGGGTTTTTTATAAAACTGGGGACATGAAGCTGCGATATTCCATGGATATATAATGTTAATGCTTTGGATGCAGCAGTTGATACTAACTCAATATTTTCCCCAAAAATAGAGAATTGGAATTTTTTTCCATGGATAAAGAAAAAAGGATTCAGGCCGTCTGACAAATGGAATTTAAAACTAGAGGTGATAATAACAATCCAAGAATGTCATTAAAGAGAAGTATCAAGGCATAAACAGTGAACTCTGCTGATACAAAGAAATGTCCTACACCGTTAATGAGACAAAAGTGACAATGATGAACGAATAATCCTCAGCTACGGCCTAATCCATTCTTACCAGAGCAGAGCGATCATAAACAGAGTGAAGATCGAAAAACAAACAAAGCAAACACACGTACTTTATAGTTGTTCATGATATTGGACATTGCAAGTTTGCACTACATTTTATTGAAAATAAGTGTGCAATACAACAAAGTTCTATACACTCCAAGAATAGCATACTACACTAATTACATAAGAATATCTATGACAAGAAGACATTTTTCGTGCCCATTACCTTGTGAAGGTACTGAATCATTTCGAGGAGGTGTCAAAGCAAAGGGACAAGGCCTATCGCCACAAATACACACGGGTTGATCTAAACCCGCACTGACCGCCAAATCTATTACAGTTAGAACAGTTACTCTCATATGGATCGCTATAATTCACACTGAAACCCTGCATTAAGGCCTCCTCAAGGCTGATATTCAATCCANTTGCCTAAAAAATATTTTGCAGGGAAAATGATTTCAAGTGTATTTGATTGGTATAATTTTCTACCGAAAAATTTTAAATTTTCTATTCGTTTGACTTTGTTTTACATGGAAATTGTCTATTAAAGTGATATTTTTTTCCACAATTAGTTATAAAATTTGTTTCCATTGCCAAAAAGTAAAAAAAAAAAAAAAAAAAAAAATTGATTCCTAAAAAATCATTTTTTATCAAAATTTAGTATTCGTTTGACTTTGTTTTACATAGAAATTGTCCATTAAAGTAAAAATTTTTTTTTACCATTGGTTATGATATTTGTTTCCATTGACAAAAAAAAAAAAAAAGATTTTTTTTCCAGCCAGTGTGGGAAAAAATTTTCATCAAAAAGTTGGAAAATGCACACGTGTGGGCTAAAGGTGGAAAATTTCGCCTATCAAACAGCCAAAAAAGTGGAAAGTGGAAAATATTTTCCTAATTTCCTGAAATATAATGCCAATCAAACAGGGCCTAAATGCAATGACAATTTTAACTCGCAGGGTATGTCATCTATGACTCATGTTTTTGTTCTCCTGTGCCTAGGCAATACGGGTCCAGAATTGTTGTGTCTAACCAGCATCCTGAAAGGTAGTTCCCACACCACCACCACCAATAAGAATGCTGGAAATAAAGTCGAAGATATATCATCTTTAAGGTCAATTTTAGAATTCTTTCTTCCAAGATATTACCACTAAAACTGAATACAGAAGCCATGTTAAGCCACAACATACACACTTACGATAGAGAGCAAAGAGGCCGGGCTTAATCCACCAATTAAGAAATCTACAACAGAACCAAAATTCAAAACCCAGTTGTCACAAACTAAATACCTAACTCCACAGAATTCTCTCAGCCAGTATTCCCTGGGGAAAGAATTAATACTAATTAAATGTCTATAAACAGAAGAACACCATTCTAAACTAATCAGTAAATATGTGCACCAAAATAGGTGCAACGGTAAGAACAGGGGTGGAGCCAGCCCATCGAAGTAGGGGGTGGCTGCCTCCAAAATTTTTTTTTTGAAACAATATCTGTTAAAATGAGGGAAATTGGTACTTTGTGATGGAAAAAGGAAACAGATGAACATAAATTAATATACATTATTAACAAAAAAATAAATAAATCAAGAAACGTATAAAAGCTATTAGAAATGCTAATTTCTTGTAGTTTGCTTTTATTAGAAAGTTAGCTTGCTATTAGAGTATTAGTTAAGATTTCTCTTTCTTTTCAGCTGGAAATTAGTTATGCCAACTGTTGTATTTTTTTCCCGCCTTTTTCTTGTTTTCACGCCTTTTTAATCTGTAGCTTCCTGCACTTTTTACCTAAGCAAATAATAAACTTTTTTTCCAAATTGTTCTTCCTCTCGGTTTCAATATGGTATCAGAGCACTTGCTGCTCAACTCTGAATCTCGGATTCATTGAAATCAGTGTTCGAATTCTGATATGGATCCAGTAAATAACCAAGTAAATATTGATGTCCAATCGTCTGGGAGCAAATCTGCAATCGACGAACCTTCTAACCTTTTTTTTCTTCATCATTCAGATAATCCAGGATTAATACTGGTATCTCAATTACTAATCGGAGAGAATTATCCATCATGGAGCCGTGCGATGATAATCGCTCTTTCAGTGAAGAATAAAATCTCCTTCATTGATGGGTCATTGGAAAAACCTGATGAATTGAATTCGGAATTAGTCAATTCATGGATTAGAAATAACAATATTGTTATGTCATGGATACTGAATTCTGTCTCGAAAGAGATTTCTGCAAGCGCCATCTATGCTTCAACAGCCCATGAGATCTGGAACGATCTCAAGGAAAGGTTTCAACAAAGTAATGGACCTCGAATTTTCCAACTAAGAAAGGAGCTGATGAACTTAACTTAAGATCAAACTTCAATCAGCGTTTATTTCACTAAGCTGAAGACCGTATGGGAAGAGTTAATCAATTTCAGGCCGAGTTGCAATTGTGGAAAATGCTCCTGTGGGGGAGTTCAGGAAATGAACAAATATCATCAGATGGAGTATATCATGTCATTTCTTATGGGATTAAACGAATCCTTCTCTCAAGCTAGGGGGCAAATTCTTCTTATGGATCCTATGCCACCGGTCAATAAGGTTTTTGCACTGATGGTCCAAGAAGAGAATCAGAGGAAAATAAGTGCACAAAGTTTAGGGAATGATAACACCTATACTGAAGCTGCTGCAGCATTCTCCATCAGATCTGATGCTGCCAAACCAATGATGAATCAGAACTATCGATATGAGGGATCCAGATTTGGGAACATGGCTAACTTCAAAAGGAAAGATAAGCCTTATTGCTCTCACTGTAAATTCCATGGACATTCGGTTGATAAATGTTATAAAGTACATGGATATTCGCTTGGATATAAGCCAAGAGGCAGCGAATATAGTCAAGGCTACTCTTCAAATACTCATGTCAATCAAATGTCTATCTATCAGCATCAAGAGCATAAACTTGGTGCAGGGGATTTTATACAGAATTTGAACACAAATCAGTACCAACAACTGATGCTGATGTTATATAATTTGGCACAAAACTCAAGCACTAATTCCACTGATCTCGAAAGATAGCAAACTACTACAGGTAATGCAGGTATTTGTCACTCAATATATGTTGAACCCGTTTTTGCATCTAAGGAAATTTGGATAGTTGACTCAGGAGCCACTAAGCATGTATGTTGTAATGTTGAAGCATTTGTTAACATGAAGTCAGTCGAAAATGCCAGCATTACTTTGCCAAATCATGCTAAGATAATTGTCAATCTATGTGGTGAAGTCAAGCTAAGTTCTAACCTGGTTTTGCATGATGTCTTATATGTTCCGGAATTCAAGTTTAATTTGCTGTCAGTTAGTGCATTAACTGTGGATTCCCAGCTCACATTGCAATTCTCTCAGGACCAGTTTCAAATTCTGGAAAGTTTCACCATGAGGATGATTGGCAGGGGTAATAGAGTTCAAGGGTTGTATGTGCTAGATACCAGAATTTTTGATTCCATTTCAAATAATTTTGTTTGCAATGTATCTGCTCGTATATGGCATAATAGACTTGGACATTTGTCCTTTAAAAGATTAGATGCCTTAAGGGATCGTTTTTCCTGTAATTTTTAAAATTTGAATAGACAAATTCCATGTTACATTTGTCCCATGGCTAAACAACGAAGGTTATCTTTTGAGTCACAAAACAAGTTATCTGATAAGCCTTTTGATTTATTACATGGTGACATATGGAGACCTTATCATGTGGCTTCACACACAGGACATAGATATTTTCTCACTTTGGTAGATGATTGTTCACGTTTTACTTGGGTGTATATGCTACATCATAAATCTGATGCAGAGGCTGCAATAATTCGGTTTTTTAATATGGTCACTACACAATTTAATGCCAAAATCAAGTTTTCAGATCAGACAATGCACATGAGTTGGCTTGTAACAGATTTTTTTGCTGAAAAGGGAGTTATACATCAGTACAACTGTGTTGAGAGACCGTAGCAAAACTTTGTTGTAGAAAGGAAACACCAGCACCTGTTGAACGTTGCTCGTGCTCTGTTTTTTCAATCAAGAATCCCTATCCATTATTGGTCTGAATGTGTCTTAACGGCTGCTTACATGATCAACAGAACTCCTTCTCCTATCCTAAAACACAAAACACCTTATGATATTCTTCATGGTGGACCGGCTGATTACTCAAATCTTCGTGTTTTTGGGTGTTTGAGTTTTGCTTCCACTCTTATTGCACATAGGAATAAATTCCAACCTCGTGCTAGACTGTGTATATTTCTGGGCTATCCATCAGAGATCAAGGGATTCAAATTACTTGATGTGGCTTCAAAACAGATTTTTGTCTCTAGAGATGTTGTTTTTCATGAGGAAACTTTTCCCTTTCATACCATAATTCATTCTGAGGAAGTGCTTGACCCTTTTCCCAACTTAGTGCTGCCCTCTTCCACTCTAGATACAACTAGTGATAATCCTATTAAATCAAGTCATGATTACTCATAAACAAATCCACCTGAATTTGTTTCTTCTTCTCCTTCTCCTTCTTCCAATGAAGCATATAGTACAGACTTATCAGATCAATTAAATCCTTCCAGAACATCTGATGTTGAAGTTCGAAAATCTACCAGATCTTTCAGACCTCCCAAATATCTCCATGATTATCATTGTAATTTGATATCTCATGGTACACATTCTTCATCTTATTCTCCTTATCACATTGCAAATTTTATCTCATATAAAAATCTTTCAAACTCTCACAAAAATTTTGTCTTATCTATTTCCTCACATCTTGAACCTCAGTTTTTTCATTAAGCTGTTAAATTCCCTCAATGGTGTGAAGCCATGAAACTCGAGTTACAAGCTATGGAAGATAACCATACATGGTCCATTGTGCAATTACCACCTGGAAAGCATACTGTAGGTTGCCGGTGGATTTACAAGAATAAATTCAGGTCTGATGGTTCACTTGAGAGGCATAAGGCACGCCTAGTTGCTAAGGGGTATACCCAACAAGAAGGGCTCGATTATTTTGACACTTTCTTACCTGTTGCAAGAGCAGTCACTGTCAAGTTGATGCTGACACTTGCAGCTCACTATGGTTGGCATTTGATACAATTAGATGTGAATAATGTGTTTTTGAATGGGGATTTATTTGAAGAAGTATATATGGACCTCCCACTTGGATATGATTTGCTCAAGTCATCTAATCAGGGGGAGAAATTGGTGAACAGATTACACAAATCTATATATATGGTCTGAAGCAGGCTTCGAGACAATGGAATTCTAAGTTCACTCATTCTATTTTACAGTATGGTTTCACACAGTTGAAAGGGGATTACTCTCTTTTTACAAAGGGATCTGGTCTGAACTTTGTGGCTCTACTGGTGTACGTGGACGATATAGTACTAACTGGTCCAAACATTAAGGTGATTAATTCTTTGAAAGCTTTTTTACAATCACAGTTTAAGCTCAAAGACTTGGGGATCTTGAAATATTTTTTGGAAATTGAAGTGGCAAGATCATCTTCTGGAATTGTTATTTCCCAGAGACAGTATACATTACAGCTACTGGAAGATACTAATTACTTGGATTGCAAACCAGTGAGTACCCCCATGGATCCTAAGCTTGTTCTCAGTCAACATGAAGGGGACTTACTACATGATGCGACTCATTATAGGCGATTGATTGGGAAGCTTCTGTACTTAACTTTGTCACGTCTTGATATCACCTTCGCTATCCATAAATTGAGTCAGTATGTTTCTCAACCAAGAATGACACATCTAAAGGCCGTTCATCACTTGCTGAGATACTTGAAAGGACATCCTGGACAAGGTCTTTTATTCTCATCACAACTCAGCCCAAATGCAGACATCAACATTAAAGCCTTCTCAGATGCTGATTGGGGATCGTGTGTTGACACTCGAAAATCCACCACAGGTTTTTGTATTTTTGTTGGCAACTCAATGATCTCTTGGAAATCCAAAAAGCAGCCTACTATCTCTCGTTCTTCAGCAGAGGCAGAGTACAGAACACTTGCCTCAACTGTGAGTGAAATCATATGGATTAGGCAGTTGTTAAATGATTTTCACGCCTGCACTTCAGCACCAGCCGTCCTCTATCCAGATTGCTTCCAACCCTGTTTTCCACGAACGAACGAAACATATTGAGGTGGATTGCCATTTCATCCGTGACAAGATCAGTGCTGGCATAATCAAGCTACTTCCAGTTCGATCAAGGCATCAACTAGCTGATCTCTTCACCAAGCCTTTACCTCATTCTAATCTCGACCATTTGCTATCCAAGATGTGTGTGAAGGACATTCACGCACATCTTGAGGGGGAGTATTAGAAATGCCAATTTCTTGTATTTTGCTGTAATTAGAAAGTTAGCTTGCTATTAGAGTATTAGTTAAGATTTCTCTTTCTTTTCCAGCTGGAAATTAGTTATGCCAGCTGTTGTATTTTTCCCGCCTTTTTCTTGTTTTCACGCCTTTTTAATCTGTAGCTTTCTGCACTTTTACCTCAGCAAAATAATAAACATTTTCCCCAAATTGTTCTTCCTCTCGGTTTCAATAAGGAGGGTGGGGATGTGGAATAATAGTTCCTTAAAGTACTCGATAGAATCTAGGAGTGAACCAAGAATTCGATTTTAGAAGAATTATTACACGATGAAGAGTTGCTAAAAATTATTTGTTGAAAACTCGGAAAAGTTTGACGAGACGCATACACTGTTTCGAATTAAAACGCGAAAAAAGTTTAGCATCACGTACCGTTCCCTGTTGGAGCATCGTTGCAAGTTAATGCAGAAGTTCTATTAGCACAGTAACAAGCAAATGAGCCATCCCGATTAGTCCCGCACAGCCCACCTGACCCGACGCAATTCTGGCAAATCCTATTATTCGCCTCCCACCGCAACGAGAACCCACTGACAAAAGCATCCTGAAGAAGACGAGTAACTGAGGCAGTTGGAAGTGCAAACAAACTCTGATAAGTCCGATTGATGGGAACATATATACTATTGTTACATCTGATAGTATTCCTAGAGGCAGAAGAATCCTCTATCACGTAGAAACTATCAGTATTGGTGCCATTCACATTGCAACTGAACTGGTTAACGAGCTGTGTAGGCTGTCCGTTAAGTGAGCAACCGTAGTATATAGTAACGTTACTGTAATCAGGAGAAGGCTTAAAGAGGTTTAAATCTAGGGTTGTGTTATAAAGAAATCTGGGACAAGCGGTGGTCCGTAAATCCTCTCTAGCAACCTTGAGAGTCCATGGACTCCATGTGGTGTTATTGATTTCCAGGACACGGTATTGGATTGACAAGATATTAAGTAACGCGACACCGCCTTGGCAATTCAACTGGAAGCCTGAAAAACCGCAATATTCCGGCCTACTCCCTCCCCAGAAAGGATAAGTTATGTTTTGGATGTCGCCACATCGATATGGAGCACCACAGGTTGCATATTCCCCTCCATTTTGACACAAGGAACCCGGGACGTAAAGGATTAAAACGAGGCTTATGAGGAGGAGAAAATATCTCTGGTTGAGTTTTGGATGCATTTTTACAGAGAGAGAGAGAGAGAGAGAGAGAGAGATTCTACAAAACAAAATTTGGAATAAGCCAATTTCATGTTGAAGGGGATTGCTTAAAAAATCAATGTTTTGGACGTAATAATGGACTATTGAACTTTTCTTTTACGTGATGTAACGAGAAACTAGTGTGCATTGTCTAATTCATTTTGTGCAGTTTTTCAAACAAATAGAAGCTTCTGTTGGATTGAAATTGGTCTAATAAAATATAATGTGATTATGTATGAAAATATATCCTTGAAGTTTGGTGACAAATTTTGGCATTTCTTGGAAGAGTTTCGGGAATAGAATTAAAGCCAGAAAGTAAAGACTAGTAGTTTGGTGGGAAGCTTAACTAAAGAATAATGCTTAAAGTTCAGAAAGTTATGGAGTCGGATGAACCACAAGATGTCATCTTAGTTGATACAGCTCTGTTTGAGCACCATTTTTTGTAAAAATGAATTTTTTTATAGTGATTTTTTAGAGAATGTGTAATTAAAAAGTATGGAAAGTTTTTGAGTTTACGAGTACAATTATTTTATTTGGAGAATGTGTGATTAAAAATAAGTTTGAGGAAAAATGAATTTTTTAGATAATGAAGCTCAAATAAGGACCTAGATTTATTAGGGTCTTGACTATAAAGTTTCATGTTT